ATTGATACAAAAAAGTCGAGGGTTCTGCAGAAAGTTCACATTAAAGTTACACATACATTTTAGCTACGCAAAAGTGTTGCAATTGCCTATTATTTGTCTTCTTTAGTTGCTTCTCTGTTCAAGTGTTGTACAGAAAGATTCCGCCCCCCACCCGCTGTCTCATAGGTGAGTATGTGACCCAACTGCCTTGGCTAAAGAGGTCAATGGCCTTGACAGTATCACGTGATTAGAAGAGTGATATTAAAGGATAAATGTCCCCTCTTTTTGTCCTCAATTTCTGTGTGCATGTACAAGTTAGTCCTTCCATCTTCCTTATACTACTATACATGTCTAACCAGGGGTTAGCGATGATACTCAAACTTGTATAAATTCGAAGATTTTATATCAAGTAATAAAGGCATCTTCCATATTGAAATTTTTGGAGGGTGATGATAAATTCTTCCGTCTGATATGGCACCCTCTTAAGTATAATAAATTTCGGTTTAGTTTAACTGGCCGAAGTGTTAATTTAATCAATTGCTTGTTAATAAATGTGTACAAACTCAGTCTCGGTTCGAACTTCCAATATTGTCCTATTAATTTTGAGTTTCATCAGCAATCAGTAATTTATGCCTTAGAAAACGGGCTTGGCATCAGTTTCACTAATTCGTACCTGATACGAGGCACCCAAGTATCAAGATGAAATGACCAACAGTACCTGTTTTGCGTAAGATTCTGATGTTGCTATCCGAAATGTAATGGGTGATTTCTCCTCGCAAGTGAATCACTATTTATGGGTGCTACAGTGTGCATATCTTTTGGAAGATCCTTCTCTCTTTGAAAAAATCATGTCTGGTGCATAGTTCGTTTTATTTTATCCTGGTGACGTTGTGAACCACGATTCTGGAAAAATCAAAACCTCCCTAAGAGTTTAGAATCTTTTGGGTGCACCATTGAAGTCAGTCGTTGAGTACAAACTTCAACCAACTCATGAAGAAGTTCGATTTTGTATTTAATTCTTCCTTCAGGATGACTTCTCTGGTTGTAGAGGCTTGAATAATTGCAGGTACGGATACAATTAAATAATGCGTATCTACTCAGTACCAGGGAGCGATTTATGCACGGAACTTCAGTAAAACACAGCAGAAAGGTAATTGGATTGATGGGTGCTTAGTTTGTGGTTGCAGCTATGCTTCTGAAAAATCTACAATAACACGTACTAGACAAAGGTTACAGAGGCGAAGTTATCCTCTAACGCAAGTCGTACAAACTCAGTGGTCGGGTAGCCAGAATGGCAACGTATGCTTAAAATCCACCGTATCATCTCCACTCCTGGGTATATAATGATTTTTATCTCTGCTGTTGCTTTAATTGAATTTGTGAGCATTGCGTCTCCAATGATATAATGATACAGCGCTATTGCTGTATTATGAATTGTGATCAGGCCGTGTGTTAATTGATGGTGTTCCTGGGAGCTTTTGAATACGATAGGTTGTTTTGGAAATTAACCCAAATTTCGAAGATTATATAGTCTATCAACGAATTCTATCGTTTTTTACATTGCAAGACAACTATAGTGGACTGTCATATATTGATTGCCAAAGGAGAGGCTACTTTGTTGGTGGTGGTTGGAGGGAATATGTTGATTCAGATTTAAGCAAAGAATATTTCAGTCAGTTTGCTACTTTTTGGAGTCAGAGGCAATGTTTTGTTTCAGTATAGAGAAAACAAAGCTTGTATATGTAATTCCATGTAAATAGGAAAAGAAAGAGAACAAAGCATTTGGAATTTTAGAAGCTGTCAAGTCGGAAGAAGTTGAATTCCAATCTTGACTGATTCATTTCCCCTTTTCCTTTTAGTATCAGTAGTGAGCGAGAGGGGAAAAGGTTTGGAGAGGCAGAAGAAGAAGAAGAAGGAGGAGGAGGAGGAGGAGGAGGAGGCAGAGATGTGAAGGGGAAAAGGGGGAGCGATGAGAGGCCAATGGGCCAAAAGGAAAAAGGCAAAGGTAATAAAAGACACCCCAAGAGGATTAAAGGTCATAGGACAGAAGAAGAGTACAAAGTCCAAATAGGAAGCAAAGGTTGCTCAACTTTAATGCCTGCATGGGGCTCAGAATTCAAGATAGGCTTTCTGAAATTGATAAAAGGGGGGCCCTTTCCTTTTGGATGTTCTGTTCTGCGTGGGGGTATCCCTTCATTACTCTTTTATTTATCTCATGCCTACCCTCCCTCTCTGCCATGGAGTAGAAATGTTTGGTTTCCAATCCAACGGTGCCCATGTCCCCTCTTCTTTTCTTTTCTGTTCTTTTCTTTTCTTTTCTTTTCTGTTCTTTTCTTTTCTTTTCTTTTCTTTCCTTTTTCCTTTGGAGTCAGGACTCAGGAGTCCATGTCTTTACGTAACCCAATAAACAATTTAATATAACCTGTCGTTTAAAAAGTAGATGGTAATTAACACAACGCATGCGTAATTAATTATCCCTTTAACTCTCTTCATTCCAGTCTGCTATTCTACACAGCTTATCGACATAACAATGACGCAGACTACTAGGGTGTTCAAAGGTTTTTCTTTTTTCCCAAAACCTAGAAGTTATATAATAATTACCCATTCAAAACTTTTCTGGGGTTCGACTGCCTTTCAAAACATGTTGTTTTGAATATCTGAGAATAGAATACCACTTTAATGTGGCCCATATGGAGAAGTGGAAGATGTTGAATAACCCCTTTCTACAAAAGTAATTTAAAAAAAAAAAACCCCAAATATTATGAAGAATTTTGAAAATTTGCTTTACAAAGTCTCCGTTAGTTGCAATCTTGTATTGATATCATCAAAGAGTACGAAAAGGTTGAGTATTATAATGTTGTTTATAGGCCATAAGTTAAAAACAAAATGTTTGGTAGAAATGAGACACCAATTGGGAGCTCCCGAAGAACTCACATGAGTGTTGTATCATCAAAAAATCAAAGAGCTCTCTCCCGTATTGTCGCCTAATGAGTCGAGGCGTCCAATGGCAAAACCGTACGTGGCTTCAATGTTTCACGTTATTGGAATCTTAGTGATATAAATAAAGAAACAGAGCACCGACATATGGAGTTCAGATTTTGAAATACGGGGCGCAAAACCATGCTATATTACACACTGTTTTGCTCTTGGTTATGTTGTTATTTGTGTTATGGTGTAGAGTCAGGAAATTGAAGCAATGAATGGTGGTGGTGAAACAAACAGGAGTCAAACCTAACTTCTTCCCATTATCATAATATATGAAGGTGGACCATTTCATTCAGCCTGCTATCCCCTCATCACGTGGCCCACTGTCGTCCCTCCTCCTCTCTTCTCTCTGAGTCCCATTATAGCCGTCTTTTCCTTTCTTTGTTCTTATATCTCAAAGCTAGCCCTCAAATCCATCCCAGAGAACACAAGTAGCTCTGTTTTTTAGCTATGACTTTCATACATGTCGACCCAGATAGAGGAGGGATTTGAGAGCTATTGAACTCAAGTTTCATCAATTTTCGTTCTAGTTTTGTTTTTCTTTATGTCGGGGTATTCTTCCCGCCGCCGGGCAGCCATGTGTACCAGAAGAATCGCCACTTCCTCCTCTTCTTTTGCCCTGCTAATTTTCATCCTCTGGGTGTCACAGATTTGGGTTTGCTCTCACTGCCAAGCTAGAGCTTCACGGATTTTTCCTCCGCCACCGCCGCCGCACACGGCGGACACAACACTCACTGGTGACCAAAAATACAACGCCAACGCCGAAAGAGAACTTCTCCGAAAATACTTCAAGGGAAAGGCCTTCGATCGACACCGCCGCGATGAAGGATTCGAAGACAGCAAACGGAGAATACCCAGTTGTCCGGATCCTCTTCATAATTAGCAGAATTAGTAATTCATTTTTACACCCTTCCCTTTTCTTGTGATAACTTTTCTTCATCCAAAATACCCCCGTTTTTCTCTTCATTTTTTTTCTCTCTTTCTTTCTTTTTTCTTGCTAGAGAAAACCGGGGTTATTTTGGTACTTCACTTTGTTACATATGAAATTTATAAATTCCTTCTTTTTAATTCATTGGAGTAGAGACAGCAATGTGTAGTGTAGTGAGTGAGCAGTGATTTCTTTTTTCATGTTTTTCTGGGTTTTTATCCTCTACCCAAATTTTGCACTGCAAAAACCCAGAGGCCACAGGCCAGAAGGTCGGTCCTGTGTGTGTATGTACAAAAATTTGGAGGTTTCAATGTCGAATCTGAATGATCTGTCATTGCAGAAATGGCTGTTTATTATTATTCTTCGTCGACTTCCGTTGGTGGCCGGAGCCTGGAGCTGTCTCCTAGTTGGGCCTACTGGGCCTTCCGCGCCGAATCAACTGGCCCAACCCACACTAACGACACGCCTCTGGTTCGGAATTCCAGTTTCACTCAATCATTCATCCTCCCCCGCCCAAGAAAAATACAAAATTTGATTCCAAAGATAATTGACCCAAAATAAAAAAGAAAGATCACGAAGAGGAAAAAGAGGTAAGAGGCATAAACAGTAGGAAGAAGTAGGAAGCAGTAGAACTTGAACTTGAAAATGGTTCCTCCAGAAGAAGAATTGAAGAAGAATGCATGAATAAAACAAAACAGAGAAACCGAGACATGAGAATGCGCCGCGTATTGCGCGGCGAAGAAGTTGAGAAAAGCTGCAAATTATTTATGCACTTAGCGCCCTGCTTTCTTTGTCTGCTTCCAATTTGGATTTTGGAATCAATTTCACCCTCTCTCTCTCTCTCTCCTCTTTTTCCACATTTTCTTTCTTCTCTTACTTCACCATTCTTCTCCTTTATAAGCAACAATGCCATCAATATCACAGAATTTTGTAAGCAACTTCACCATTCAACAAAGAAGTTTGGGTCCCTGACCCATTGATAGACTACTGAACCAGCCCATAAGCCCATTGACGAACTGCTGGACTAGCCCACAGGCCCATTGATAGACCAGTGGACCATATTACTGGGCATTGATGGGCTGGCGGACCGCCAACAGCACAAAATTGATGAAATACAAAAGTGGATTATTGTATTAAATTAGTGGTTCAAAATTAAGATCGAAGATTAATGATCAATTAAAGAGAGGCAAAGGTGGCGGCGCAAAGCAAGTCGATCTCTTCACAAACCTCCCCTTCATTCTCGGTCTCTTCTCTGCATTCAGCTTCCGAACTTCATATCTTATTTTCTTTGCAAATAATCTCGTCCTTCTCTTCTCTCTGTATCTCGACACTCGTGCTTCTCTCTCTCCTTCAACTCCGGCTGCCGCCTGTCGCCTGATTCCGCCGCTAACCTCCCCGAAAGCCTGATAATAATATTCACTTTCCCACGTACCCTTCATAGAAGCATGCTTCACTTTCAGAGAGCTTTTGTAATACCAAAACATTATAAGCTTAAAAATTTCATTGGACATGAAAAGGAAGGTGAAGGAACAAACCATGTAGTCCAGCCAGTGATAATTGAGGTCGAGATTCGGTCCATCATCGGACATCCATGGAGTTCCTCTGCTCCCCCAAGCCATTATCACTCCTTCACTATCCAAACTCAATGATACTTTTTTTTTGTTGTTAACAATCTTTGTCTCTTCCATCTCAAGTTCACCCTTCTTCACCACTTCCTTGACTTCCATCATCACCTTGTTTTCCTCACCGCACGTCGTTGGATTTCGGACTAACTCCATAAAGTTCAGTTCAAATGGCTCCCTCATTGTATCGGCTTCTGCGCTGAGCATCGGAGTCAATTTCTCTATCTCATCTTGTTCAATCCTAATAAGTTCGTGGCTGTTTAAAGAGTAATCATCCTTTATCGTTGAGTGATCTTTGGAAGCCGCTAGCCCCAGTTCTTCCATATCAAAGCACTTATTATTAAGCGACTTCCCCAACAAACTCTCAACATCAGCCGCGAATTCAGCAGGATCCATATCGTATGAGAGATACCCAATTGAGTTTTCTTTTTCCCCAACAAAACTAAACAAATTACCAACTTTTGAATCGGTTCCCAATTCAGGAACTCGATAAAGGAGGAGCTGTTCTTGATCTTCAGTTTCTTCTTTAGCACTCACCTCCGGTACCTGAGGAAATGGCTTCCTCATCGGAGCGGTCTTTCCCATTCGAGGTGACCGTGGCTTTCTGGTGAAGCCTTGGTGCCATGAAGCAGCAGAGGAGTTGTCTGAAGAGGGTCTGTAAGAGACAGTTGGAAGACGAACTCGCTCGTGCCTACGAGCCAAGGAGTTGGCGGAGTGAACTGAAGCATCACAAGCTTGGCACAGAAAAGCATCATCGGCAGCGCAGTACCACCGAGCCCGCTTGATGATACAGCTATCGCAGGGTCTGGCGGTCTTGCCTCCCTCTGCTGTTTTCTGCACGCTTTTCCTCGGCATCATAAAATTCAAATAACCAGAAATGATAAAGAGTCAATACACTGAAACTCAGGTAAAAATGTGAGTTTGTATTAAAAACACAACTTGCAGGCTTCAAATTGGGACACTGTACTGATATTTTCTACTAGTTCGTCATTGTTGTTTCATAAATGTTCACGAGAAACTATTTTAACTAGACACCATGGAGGGACCTGGGGAATGCCCCTCGGACTGCGCTTTTCCAGCTAAATCCACGACAGAGAAGGGTCTAGACTGAGAAGGAATTGCACTTTTGTGCACTTGTTTAATATAGAAAAAGAACTTGCAGTGGGTAGGTCCACAGAAGGGCCTTATCCACTTCTTCATTGGTCGAGGGGTTATAGTTCATCCAAAGGATTGTTCTCTGATTGGCTGCGTGAATTTGTGGGGCACCCTAATTGAGAAAGGGACATTCTTTTTTTGGTTCGACAAAAAGTTGAGATCTTGTTTAGGGGCCCCCATCCCAATATTGCATTATCCATTACCTTCTGTCTAATCCCATACTTTTCGGCTTCTTCCTCTCAGTCTACTTTGAGGATAAACAACTGTTCCTCCATTTTTTATCTTTTCCCAGAAAAAAAGGAGAAGATTTCCTAATCCTGCAAGGGATTGGAACTCTGTTGGTTTTTATGTTCCTGCTTGATTATAAACTTCCAAGATCAGCCTCAGCATCCAAAGTTTGCATTGTCCTGATGGATCCATTCTCTAAGATTTTTATCATTCTTTGAAATAAAATATAAAATATGTTCTGAAAATGTAATAGTTGAATTTCATGAAGAAGTAAAAATGCCTACCCTCTTTAACTAGCCTTTTGAGTTTTATGCAGTAAAATTCTATAAGCCGAAAAAATTATGTCAGAATGCAAACCATAACACCTCAATCTAGTAGTTTACAAAAGAACAAAAAAGTTTAAAATTAGACGGCGGTCGCTAATGGGAGCTATCTTTCCAAACCTTTGATATAGCTAGGATGGTAGACGGTGTCGTAGGACAACAGCCTCCAATGAATTTTGCTCCCAAATCACGCCATCTTGAACTAAAATGATTCAAATTTGTCATCACCAAAACAATTTGATGGCTACCAAAACCAGAACGCTAATTAGTAATGGAAATATTACAATGTAGGCCCACAAGCCATGAAATATCAGAGTGGGGTAGGGAAGAATTAAGTTGACTCACCAGCCATTTCTTGGCTCTGCCATCCCATACCTCGCCACTATTGGGATAGACAACTATGTGCTTGTTTGTTAACTGAAGTGAACATTTCGGTTTCAAAACAAGTGACCAACACAACAATATTAAATCAACACTAAGAGATTTAGTTCCTACCTCTTCGAACTTACAAATCAGAGCTTCAATAAAGTGAGGAGGTGTACAGTTTATGCCAACTGCAGTTACTTTGTCACTTTTATTAATGGCATGAAGGCACTTCTTGAAGCTCTCTCCCGACGGTGCATTCTCGCCATCTACGGAGCTAAAGCAGATCCAAGATGGAATTTGGACGTTTTCTTCTTCGAGCAACTCCACACAGGCCTACTTTTTTTTTTTTTTTTTTTAAA